GCACTACGCCACCAGGGCTCCTAATTGCTGTGGCAGTTAAGGTTATTTGTCAAGTTGGCTGGGCAGCTGGATAGTTATTCCCCACGATGAGACTGGTAATCAACTCCATGGTGGAATCTACTGTGAGAAGCTGAGTATCTGCCTTAGGGACATGGTCTGCGTCCAGTACCTAAGACAACAGTCTGAGAAAGGTCTCGGAGCTTTTTGGCACATCCGGATCCTGCAATAGGCTGTCTTCATCTTAGTGACCTGCCATGTTGTCTGCTGATCTTGAGACCGTTTCTGGACTTGAACTAGCAGCCTGCTATGTCACTTGATCATCTTGGGACTGTGCCATTTTACTTGTTGACTCTGTGTTTGTCAGCCTCAGTAGCCAGCAGCTGCCTGAGTTAAGAGGCACCTGCAGCTCCAGTAGGCCAGAAGCAAGAGACAGAGCTAAAGCCCAAGGTCGAGGGGCCTTCACCCAGCCCCTAGAGCTGGCACTTTGAACTCAGACTTCTAGACTCCTAAACTGTAAGAATCCCTATTTATTAAAGCCATCCACCTGTGGTATTTCTGTTAGAGTGGCACTAGAGGAGTAAAACAGTTGCTGATGTCAGATGGATCTTGGCTGAAAGCAAATACTAGGAAGACATTTATCTTTGTTTTATTAACCACGTAAAGGCGTCGGACTGTGGATCAAAACAAATTATGGATAACATTGCCAAGAATGGGGATTCCAGAATACTTAATTGTTCTCATGAGGAACCTGTACATAGAACAAGAAGCAGTCGTTCAAACAAGGGAATACTGCATGGTTTAAAATCAGGAAGGGCAAGCATCAGAATTGTGGGCTTTCACTATACTTAATGTGTATGCTGAGCAAATAATCTGAGAAGTTGGACTACGTAAGTGGAACACAGCATCAGGACTGGAGGAAGACTCATTAACAACCTGATATGCAGATGAGACAACCCTGCTTGCCGAAAGCACTTACTGATAAAGATCAAAAACTAGTCTTTTGTATGGATTGCACCGTAACGGAAAACAAAAATCTCCACAACTAGACTAGTAAGTACTATCACAATAAACGGAGAAAAGACTGAAGTTGTCAAAGATTTCATATTACTTGGTTCTACCAACAGCCACAGAAGCAGCAGTCAAGAAATCAGATGTCATGCCGTAAGATGCAAATCTGCTGCAAAAGACTTCTTTAAAGTGTGGCAGAGTGAAGAGGTCACTTGGAAGACTAAGGTGTGGCTAACCCAATACTTGGTATCTTCATTCACCTCATGGACATGTGAATACTGGACAATGGATAAGGAAGACCAGAGAACTGATGCTTTGGAAATGTGGTGTTGGTGAAGAATACCAACAAAACCATGTACTGCCAGAAAAACAAACAAATCTATCCTGGAAGATGTACAGCCAGAATGCTCTCTGGAAGTGAGAATGGCCAGACTTTGTCTCTGTCTCAGTTACTCTGGTCATGTTGTCAGAAGGGACCATTCTCTGGAGAAGGGTATCACGCTCGATGAAGTGGAGGGTCAGCAAAAAAGGGGAAGACCCTCAACCAGGTGGACCGACGCAGTGACTGTGACAATGGGATCAAGCAGAGACTGGGAGGCTGGTGCGGGACCGGGCGGCGTTTCGTTCTGTTGTGCACAGGGTCACCATGAGCTGGAGTCAACTTGGCATCTAACAACAAGAAACTTTTATCTGTATAGATATATACTTACGTCTCTAGATGTAACTATGTCTATGAAGGAGGAAGAGTAGAAGCAAGGTATCGTTTTGCAGCTTAAGGTTTTCTTTTTCTCATGGGAAATATTAGTTTCCTCAAATTTTAGGTTATGAAAAACTCCTTGTACCTTGGTGCATTGCACAGAGTAAAATGACAAAACGACGATATGAACATCTGAGTTGAAAATACATGATGCAGGAATGTAGAATGAAAAATTTCTTATTTGCTAAAATTAAGATTGCCTCAACAGTAAAATTGGTAACTGAAAAAAAGCAGCACATACAAGTCTCCACCAGTGATGACAATCGCATTCAAAAGTGAAGCAATGCTTAAATTAAGGTCTCTTGATTCTTTTTGTGTCAAATATTTAAGGGCATGATGAGAAAATGGGAGCTTTTAAAAACAGTACAGAAGAGCTTTCAATTCTTCCACAGTTACTTGCCGGTGGTATTAAGACCAGGTACAGACCATGACCACATAGTTAACAAGGACACCTGGTTGCGAAACTCTTTATAGGGTTTTTTCTGAGTCAGGAAAACATTCACAGACAGTTCTGATTCTTCACAACCTGCCTCCCACCACTGAAAACTTTCACTCCTCTTTGTATTTACCAACTGTGACTGCCCAGCCCAAGTATCCGAATTTCCAATAATTTAATGCAATGGGCAGTTATTACAAGAACACTGCACTATACATGATATCCCTATATGGAAATAAATTCTTAATGTTTTTTAAATTCAAGATACCCATGAATAAAATTCCAGTTATCAGCTACAAAATGGCAAGACACATTCTTTGAAAAAAAATTACGTATCAAACAGCTTCACAAATAAAAAGCACAATTTTGTTGTTGGAATCCTGATAAAAAGCAATTTTTTCTAAGTTCAATGTTTGCATCCTTGAATTGTTCGACATCAAGAAAACCCAATTTGAGGCTGCTCTTTCAAAGCCAGAAGCACAGGGCCTGGTCCTCTCAACCCGTGCTGGACAGCAGAGGCTTGCGGTATTTGCACTGAATCCAAACTCGGTACATGGTCAGCTGCTTCCCCCGGTTGACCTGCAACCGCTGGTCCACCACGTTCTGCACTTTCTCCAGTCCAGCAGCAGTGAAAAGTGTGTCCAGTTCATCTAGTTTGGAAAAGAGATGTTTATATTATTCCCCCGAAGAAAAAGCCTTCTGCCTGCCACTTCCCTCATTAAATGCAGCTCCCATGAGACTGCTGCTGTTATTTATGCACTTTAAGTGGCTTTAGCAGAGCTATTTTGTTACAATGGCAAGGTCACGTTCAGGTAGGAAAGCCAAGCCTGGCAAAAGGTAGCCCAGCAGCCTGGGGGAGATCTTCTCTAAGAACCAGTTGGTAGGGAGAGATTTTTTCTTTTATTGTGATTTGAGTGAAAGTTTACTGAGCAAATTCGCTTTCCATTTAAGAGTCTATACTCAGTTTCCAGACATTGACTGCAATCCTCACAATGTTAACAGCTCTCTTCCCACTTCCTCCCTGTGGTTACCTTTTCTCTGTGCCCTTTCCTACACATTCCTGTCCTCTGAGCTATCTCCCTGTGCAAATGCTGCCCTTTTGATCTCCCATGGTTGATTGCTCTAAGGAGTGCATCTACCTGGTGTAACTTAACTGTTCATCTTGTAGGCCTGTATTGTTTGGCTGGAAGCCATGGGAATGAGTTCAATTTCAGGCCTAAAGAGAGAGTAGGAGCCAGTCTCAGGGGTTTCACCAATCTCTATCAGATCTGTAAGCTTGGTCTCTCTTTTTTTTTTTTCCCCATGATTTTGAGTTTTATTCCGTATTTTTCTCCCACTCTATCCAGGATCTCCAATTTTGATCCCTTTGAGTGCCAGACAGTGGTAGCCAGGCACCTTCTAGTTCTTCTGGTCTCATAATCATGCAGGCAGAAGTTCTCAGGGTCCACTAGTCCCTTGGACTAATTGTTTTCATGCATCTTTGATTTTCTTCACTCTTCTTTCCTCTGGATGAGGAGACCAATAGTTCCATCTTAGATGGCCACTTGCAAGTTTTTAAGACACCAGTCACTACTCACAAAGTAGGATGCAGGACAATGTTTTTGTATAATATGTCAATTGAGCTTGATGTCCCTGTAACAACGGTCCTAAGCCTGTGGGCTCAGTGACCCACTGCCGGGGGGCGGGGATTTTTAAGAAGGTAAAAGCTGATAGGCTCTAGGCCAGGGGGTTTGAACCTTCTGGTTTAATGAGGCTTTCTGGATTCTATGGATTTGTGGACACCTTAAAAGTTTATGAAAAAACCAGCACACATGTATGTCAAAGCAGCTTCTGTAGGTCAGAGGTTCTATAGTTTCAACTGAAGGCTCAAATAAGTGTGTGACCTAAAAGGGGTGAGGACCCGAGGAGCCTAGCAATGGAGAATCCGTAAGATGTTGGTGGAAGAGGAATGCTGTGGGCAGGAAGCCTGGTCCAGAGCAGATGAAACAGAGTTTGGGTTGTACCTGGAATCAGTGAGAAATGAGCTCACCTTAGCACAGGTATACCTTATGGCAAAATCCAACTTAGCAGGTAAAATAGGCTGGACTGCAGAGGAGGCTTTGCTTTAAAATGGGCTGGTTTCCCAGATAGACAAGGTGGGAAAGAGAGAAGAGCAAAGGCAGAAGCCTGAGGGCACACACAGGCCAAGCTTATTTGAGGAATAAAGAACAGCTGAAGTTGGCTTCAGTGGGTGGAGAACCTCAGGAGAAAGGTAGGAAGTACCGGATGATTTTATCTCTGAAAGTGTGTTGAGGACCTCCTACCTTGGTGTCCTAGGGACCTCTGGTATAAATGAAAACAGGAGTTTTTGTACCTTGTGTGAAGAAGTAAACTCTGGTGCCATCACCTCTCACGTAGAAATTTTCAGACAGACACTGACCTGTAGAATGATATGGTTAAAGTATTTCTATGCATTTCAGTGACAGTCAAATGTGCATCACGGTAGGCATTTCTGAGGTAGAGGACAGATTCCTTTCTTGGGTTACACATGGCACTCTGCAGGGATCTGCAATTTCTCTCTTATAAAGGAACAGTGCCTTGAAGTACAATCCAAGAGGAACAATCAAACTTCAATGTCAGGTAACACATGATTCTTAGCTCCATTCTATTATTCATTTCATGATGAGAATAGCTCATGTGTCTTTTTCCCCCAATGAAAACAAAACAATAAAACATCCAGCAGCACAGCTGAGTCAAGCAAACCCAAGACAGCCACCATTACCATTATGGCATCACACTTTCTCATGTCCTTCCATGTGCCCACACGTGTGAAAATATGATGACATGGAGGACTGGTGCGTGACTGTGTTTCATTTCCTTTTCCGGTGCTTGTCTACAGCACTCATCTGCACACTGCTTTTCTCACCTAGTAATACAGAATGGAAATCCTTCCAGATCTGGTGGCAGGGTCAACCTCATAGGACATGCATGACTTCACCTATCCACAGGGATTTAGTTTGTTCCCAGGTTTTTGCTTGTACCTATGCTATGAACTGGTTCTTTTATTTCTACAGAGTAATTCCCACAAGGACTGTTGGATTGAATATAGTGTCAGGGTGCTTAAAAGAAAGGTGGTATAACTCATACTTCTACCAGTAATGGGGGCGTGTATGTCTTCTCTGAAGTGGGCAGCAACAGGCTTAAGTGGCAGCTCATTGTTCGTTTTGTTTCTTTGACTACCAGTGAGAGTGAGCAGTTTTTAAAAACTGTTGTAAAAGTATATATTAGCATATCATATTTTAAGTATAAATTGAACGTTTTTCACGTGCACAATTTAGTGACATCAAAGACCTGAATCGTATCTGAGCAGCGTTTGGTTTACTGGCCATTTGGATATGCTATTCTGAAGACTGACTCGGTATTTTTTGCCCGTTTTTTGGTTGGGTAGTGGATCTTTTCCATATCAATTTGCTGACAGGTCCTTGAACAACTCAGAAATGAATACTTTCTCTGTTAAATGCACTGAGTCTTTTTTCTCAATATGTCAGCTGTCTTTTAACTTTTTGTTGTTGTTGGTGAAAGTATACACTATGGACTGTACTAGTCACGTTTCTACATGTACAGTTCACTGACATGGATGACATTTCTCACCCTCCTTTTCGGAACTGTTCCTCCCTATTAACATAAACTCATTGTCCCCTAAGGTTTCTATCTAAACCTTGCAGTGTCTTTTTTAACTTTGTAATAGTATCTTTTGCATACACATTTACAATTTATGTAATCAAATGTGTTCTTTTAAAAATAGCTCTTGGGTTTTGTAGTTGTTTTCCTTAAAAAGACCTCCTTACTGTCTAGGTCATGCACTAAATAGTTTGTCAAGTTTTCTTAAGAAATACACCACTCTTGTCATATACTAACTTCCTTTAGGTATGAAGATCTAATTTTAAGGTTTCTAGTTTGTTCCAATACCTTTTTTAAACCGGAGCTGCGCCATGTCATAGCGGCCGTAATCTCGCAGAAGCATCAACCCCCCAGGCCTCAGAAGCCTGCTAAGCCTGTCGACAGCCTTCTGCATCCTGGGGGCAGAGGGAACGCGGATCAGATCTCTTTAGGTTCCTTGTCTGTGTACCATGTCCCAAACAACACTGACACCAACCTCACTGAAATCCTACCTCCTTCTGCCCTCACTTTAGTTAGACTAAGTCCATGTCCAAACCTGGGTGTGCCGTCCACTGCCTGCTGAGGACACCGCTGTGGGGGAGACAGCCACATGCTCTCCCCTGGCTTACCTCCCACTCCTCCGGAGTCGCCTCCATGAGGAAGTCACCCCTGCCTTGTGCTTCTGACTCTGAGAGCCCTGCCCATTCCATAGGAGGACTGCTGTTGACTCACCTGCCATCCCACAGGGCAGGAGCCCTTTGAAGGCAGAGACTGTATCGTCTACCTTTATGTCCCTAGCCCACAGCATGTTCAATAAAGTTGCTAAATGAAGACCAATCCTCAATAAATGTGATACAGTCAACGTGCAAACGAGCACACATAAATGAGCCGAACGCAAAGGGCTTTGGATTTCTAACTGCACTTCTCATGGAGTCCCAGAATCTTGATGCAAGTTTAACCTTCAATAACATCAGAAGTAGAAAATGCTACAAACTCACCAAAAATACCACTTGAAAGTTAACTGTTTAAATTTAGAATAATTGTAATGTTTTATTTCCGTCAATGTCAGTGTTTTAAAGTTGCAGCATTGAAGTGCCTTTCTTTCACCCTCGTATCCTTGTCAGGCTGGATGACTTAACGCTATTCTAGAACCCGGGCTGGAGTTCACTCACTTGCCTGACGTGGACAGCACTGGGTCCCAAGACTCTGCATTATACCAGGCTCTTATGCACTCATGGGTCCTTGTCATCTTGATGTGACTCTAGCCTGCATACCTTCACCTCTAATTTATTTCATCACCCTTTACTGGCTCTCATGGGCACAGAATGGGCACATTTGAAGTGTCTACCTTCTTTCCTAATCCTGTGGTTTCTGGGGACATGATTTGCCCAGACCCCTGGTACTTGCTAAGCTCCCAGCTTCTGTCCTAACTGGCATCTGGCAGGGATGAAGGCCTCTATGGTTCACACGGTGAACCAAGCCTGTCAGCCACCATCTCTGTGATCAACCCAGCTTTCTCGAGACAGCATCTCATCGGGACTACTGGCTGCCCGATGAGGCTCAGGTTTTGACAGTACCTTTTAGGTACATCATTTTTAGGCACCTGACTTTATTATGATCTAATCCTGATTTTATGGGATTCTCCTTACTGTAGTTTCCCAAAGAACTTAAGCATCAGAGCACATCATTTCCTCAGTTGTGCTTCAATATACACTGTGCACAGTTAGTAAGCTTAGTTTATTTCAAGGATCTCAAAGACCAACAATGGGACATCATCTAATGACTATGGCACCCACAGTTTTGAAATAACACGTTGAGATTATCAGTGGGAATTTCTCCACATATCCATTATTAAAGATTTCTCCCCCACTCTTTGGAAGATTAAATAATACAAAGAACAGACAGAAGTTGGACCTAGAAACAAGATTAAGAAAATGTTTACTGCTATGGATGGAGCAGCTTCCTGTTGATCAGAACACAATAAAACTCTTTTTATTCAGAGTCCAACTGAGATATCAAAGTCCCTGCCCACAGCGTTTTCTTTTGTTACACTACTGGTGAAGAGACCTAAAACTTACTTGTCCGGAACAATTGCTGAAAGAACAAATATGAGAATGATGATATCGAGACTGTCCCTGGGCACTGGGTAACTCTTATCTTCATCACACAGATCGTGAACAAAGGCCAGGCACCGAGAAGGATCATACTCTGAATGTGTCTGCAGTGACAGTAGAGACACAAATGGATCAGAAAATGTTGCCATGGCCTCAAGAAAAGCTTTCTTGTTTTAAATACAATCGTAGACCGGGCAATACAGCTCTATCCTTATTGCCGTTGTCAGCCGCCACTGAGCTGGCTTCTGACTCAGAGCAACTCTATGCACAACGGCATGAAATACTGCCTGGTCTGGTGCCATCACAATGGAACACTGCCCAATACGCGAATGCTCTGGACCGAGCAGTATTTTGTTCTGCTGTGCATACGGTTGTCAAGAGAATCCGTACAGCACCTGCCTTTTCAGGGGGCACTCCACTGGTGAGTTTCAGAAACGTCAAGCAAAGTTCTAAGTGAATCTAAGTGAGCACTAGCGGGCACAACGGCTGCAATGATGGGTTCAGGTGTAGCAAGGACTGCGAGGCTGGTGCAGGACTGGGCAGTCTTTCGTTCTGTTGTACGTAGGGTCGCTATCAGTCAGAGCTGACTCGATGGCACCTAACAATAATGGTGACTTTTAACACACACACTCTAGACTTTCCAACTTTCATTCTTTATTCTGATGCACTCCTTTAGTGGCGCAGTGTGGAGTTAGGTCTTAGGACTGGACAACAGTCAGGAGGTAAGGGACCATGAGGAAACAGAAACATTTCACAAGGAGAGACAAAGCATATTTAAAACAGCTCTCAATCAGGGAAATTTATTTCTCTAGATGTGGAAAATGTAACCTGCATTTTGTTTCAAAAAATTATATAAAAGAAGCTTCAATATTCAACTGGTCTAGATTCAAGAGGCTATTAGTTTCAGAAAGAGAGGAACAACCAATTCTTGAGCTCCCCTGCTATTGTACCAGCCACATCTTAGGGTACCTGCCCTTTCTACGACCTTCTCCCAGAACGGACTTTGTTCCTCACTGGCCACAGCTGATTCAAGCAGGGGAAGTGGATTTATCAGCTGGGCTGTGTTAACCAGACAATGTTTTTGGGGCTTTGGAAGTGGGACAGTCATCCCAGTGAGACTCTGTGAGCATGTGACCTGGGTGGACTTAGGAGGGGCAAGCACGCTGGATTCATGCACAAAACCAGGAAAAAACTACACAAAGCTGGTCTTCAAAGAAAAAAGACTAAAGCAAATGGGCACTGGGCAAGGAGACAAGCTCGAACCTGAGGAAGCTGCTGTGCTGAGAGGGAGGCAACACCTCGCCGGCAGCTAGTTGGCCGTGGTTTCTGGCAATTGTTCCAGCCCTTCCACAGGCCTGGCTGCACTTCCTGCCTTTGGACTATGACATCCCCCTTCATTGCCTGAGTTCGTCTGGATGTCTGTTTCTCTTAAAATTACACAAAAAAATATTTTTTGTATTGTTTTAGGTGTAAGTTTACATAGCACACTAGCCTCCCATTTGATAGTTAGTACCTAAAGTGTTCCACGACAGTGGCTGCACTGCTCACAAGTGTCAGCACGTCCCCATTTCCTCTCATCTGGATTTTCAACCCCTTCCTGCCTTCTCATCTTTGCTTTTGGGCAAATGTTGTCCTTTGATCTCGGATAACTGATTGTTCTAAAGAACACATTCCGCTTGCTGTTACTGTTTACTTGATGGGCCTGCCTATTGTTTGGCTGGAAGGTGGTCTCTCGGAATGGCTTCAGTTCCAGGCCAGAAGGCTGTCATAGCCCAGAGTCTCGAGGGCTCTTCCAGTTTCGGTCAGACCAGGAAGTCTGGTCTTTTTGGTAAATTTGCTTTTTCGTTCCACATGTTTCTCCTGCTCTGTCCTGGCCTCTCTGGTGTGACTCCATTCAGGATAGTAGGCAGTGGTGGCCAGCCACCATCTAGTTATTCTGGTCATGGGGCTGGGTAGGCTATTACTCTTTTGGCCTATGTCCTCCCTTGAGCCTTTGGTCTTCCTTCACTCTCCTTTGCTCTGGATGGGAAGAGACCAATAGTTTTACCTTAGATGGCCACCTGCAAGCTTTTAAGGCCCTACACAACACTTGCCAAAGTGGGACGGGAACAGTCTTTACAAACTGTGTTGTGCCAACTGACACAGATCTCCTCCAAGTACCTATGGCCCTTCATCAAGCCTAGAACTTCGTCCCGTGAGGTGTTTGGTTACATCTTACGATTTCCATGCCTGCCCTTTTGTGTGCTCTGTTACAACACATGCAGCCCCTACAATTAACTGTAGAAAAGTCCACAACCAAGCCTGTATCTGCAGGCACATGTGCCCCTCAGCCCCTGCCACTCCTCTTCAGCATACATATCTACCTCTGTACCTCAAAGAGCCCTGACTGAAGTGATTGTTTCATTTCAATCTTTCACACACCAGCCTGGAGGTGAAGAAACCTGCCCAAAGTCCCACAGCTGGAGGTGGCAGATCCAGTATCCATGCCTGGCCCTTTCCTCTAGGCACTTTCAGTCCATCCGTCATCTGAAGACCATAGTACAGTAAGAACATAGCCAGAGGCCTCGATTCTCAGGAGACCCTTTTTCCTTCAGCCAGTGAAAATTATTTGTAAGGAGCTACTGATTACCTGGACCAGTTCCACAGCTGTCGAAGAAAAATCGCAACAGTAAACAAAGAGGCCTGGGTCACTGCAAGGGACAGAAAAAACAACAGAATAATCAGCTTACAAACTGCATGAGGTCTATTCCCTTCCCTGAGTAGCAGGGTTCAAAGTATCAAATGACAAACAGCACGAGTTACTCAGAGAAACTGTACCCATCAGTCAGAACACATTTCATTTGGTTAAAATCCTTTTTGATTCATAGCCTTTTCCAGGCCTTGTGGATACAGCTAACATAAAGTCTTATTAAAAATCAGTGTGCTTCAACACAATGTCCTTCTCTGTCTCCACCTACAGGAACCTCCAAGGCAAGTCTTGCCTGACGGCCCCATGAGAAATTTTGTATCTTCTCTTGGAGCTATCTTGGCACTACTTCCATGCCAGGGACCCATCTGTTCCCATGTGCCTGCTCCCCTTGCCCCACAGCGGCCACAAGAGCAGAGATTACAACTTTCTTCTGTTTGTTAACCAAACTCTTCCTGAGGGTCCACTATGTGCTGGCTATTATCCTACATGCTGGGGAGCAAATATGGACAACAGGCCGAGCTTGTTTTTCTTATTCTCGCCAATGTCTAGTACAAACCCTGGCATACGGCAGGCACATAGGTTAAATTAAACTGATGTTAATAACTACTAAAATTGCTTTTGGTTATGAAACACATGATTTATTTCACCAAAGACATTTTATAAATCATGGTCAAAATACAAAGCAGGTGGTAATGGCAGAGTTCTTTTTCTGGAGGAAGTAACTTGGAACTGGAATGCCATTCCCATGAATGACTTGAAAATAGGTGACAATCTTCATGTGCGTTAGCTTCCTCAGTTCTCAGATGAGGTAATGACAGCCTAGACACTAAGTGTTCCTCAAAGAAACCAGGGGAGGGGAGAAACCAAACATGTTTTAGGCACCTAGAGAAAGGTGACATATTAAACACCCATGCTGTTAAGAGGCTTAACGTTTACTAATATTCTTGATGACAGATAACAAACACTTACACATAAAATTAAACTGAAACAGTCCATAAATGCATAATCCAGAAATTGAAATTCCCTGTAAACCCAGTAACTACTGTGAACAGCCTGATGCAGTAGGAGTTTTGAGGGGGGAAGAGACCCTCTACTTTTCTTCTCTTAGCTATCCTACAGTTAAACCTTGTAACATACTTACTTGTTAGTCTGTAAAATCGGAAAGACTGTGTTTCCCACACCACATCCAACCTGCAGATAGATATTAACTATTAGTCACAGAACATTCCAAAGCACCCATCTGCTGAACCTAGATAAATAGTAAAAAATTGTTTTAGGAAAGCTGCTAGTGCCCAGTACCCATTACATTCCCTAACCTTGACCTCAAAAACTAAACCCAAACCCAAACTGACCGCCATCGAGTCAGATCCGACTCACAGCAACCCCTCCTTGGGTTTCTGAGGTGGTAGCACTACAGAAGTAGATTGCCCAATCTTCCTTCCAAGGAGTAGCTGGTGGGTCTGAACCACCAGCCTTCTGGTTAGCAGTCACATGTGTTAGGCACTATGTGACCAGAGCTCCCCAAGAACCAAACAGGTAGCCAAAAAAGAAAAGCATGAGTGTTCATCAGCAGAAGAGAGCTGGTTTAGATAAAAGGGCCCAGAGGTCACCTTTACCTTTTGAGTTCTGCCAATGGAGATGAATTTTTTTTTTTTTTTTAACTAAGCTCCACTTTATCATTAGTAGGAAAATGTATTAACAGATTGGGCTGAAGATATTCATGAAGAGAGGATCATAGTAGCCCCATCTTCATGATAGTGCTGTGTGCACTAATAAAAACAGTGATTGTTCACTAAGGGCATACTACATGCCAGGCACCATTCTTAGCCACTTTACATATATTACCTCAATTCATTCTCTTAACACCTGTGAGACAGAAGCAGCAGTCCCATTCTACGTCGGGATGGGAAGGGACTCATCCAAGGTCATGTCACTGGACTCAATTCCAAGGCTAATCAGCTTCATAATCTGCTTCCAGTGGTATGTGCAGCCACCACTGTAAATTTACATTCTAATACCTACCTGGACACTTTTCCAGGTCTAGGCTCACCTCTTCAACACCATCCACACTCAGAAAACAATCAGTTCTCCCAGGCCTGAGAAGCAGACACCACACCAATTACTTTCTCTGCTCTTACAATTGTACTGAAGAGAACAGAAAGTGCTTTGTGGCCCGGAACTCTTCCATACCACAATCTTGAGCAATTTCCTGTATGAGACAGTGGTACGTGGCAGAGACAGCATGTCTCTGCAATTTTCCAATGCGAAATGGGTGCTCCCAGGTTAATACCTTAGAGGGCCTACCTTTGTCTGCCATGACCACCAAATACGTGGTCTACATTTAGAGCATTTCATTAGTTCAAGAATGGAGTTGATCCCAGCATAAATCAAGGGTCAAATCATTAGCTTCGTCAGAGAGGTCACTTTTTTGTGTGCCCAGCCTCTCTATGGGCCAGATCTCTGGTGATGTAGTGGTTAAAAGTTTTCAGCTGCTAACCAAAAGTTTGGCAGTTCAAACCTACCAGCTGCTCTGCAGGAGAAAGATATGGCCATCTGTTTTCGTAAAGATTTTAGCCTTGGAAACCCTATAGGGCAGTACTGCTCTGTCCTACGGGGTTGCTATGAGTTGCAATCTATGTGATGGCAGTTGGTTTGGTTTGGTTCTCTAAGAGCCACTGCATGTGCACAGTATGACAGCATCACTACTCCATGACTAAGGCAATAAAGAGAGATTACCTCCAGTATCCGGTAAGTGGCTGAAGATCCAGGAAACTCATCACAAATTTCCAAGTGACCGAGTCTCTCAGTTACATTCTTCTCCACAGAAGGCGCCTGTTTTTTCTCTCTAAGGCTCTTTGAAGAACACTCCTGCTGTTCTTCTGTTAAATCAGGTCCATCCTCACTGCTCCTACACTCAAGTATTTCACTCCTCTTGTTCTCTGAGAGCAAACCCTTCAAATGATTTTGGTTTGGGCTTGGTGCCAGTTCTGGGAATTCGGTAAAAAGCCAGTGTCTATCCTTGAAAAACCCATTTTCATGGATTTTGTAGAAGTCATTCCAGTATTTGTGGGCATTGATCTCATAATCAACTGTAAAAGAATTTTAAAAACAAGGTTTCAAATATCTTATTTGTATCAAATACTAATTTCCATCCTGTTGCACCAAATATCATTTTACACTAAAGATATCAAGGCGAGCCATAGACTTTCAGAGCCAGAGGTACTTCTGAGGGTCTTTCAGTCCTACCTCTACAGTTATACTTAAGTCCCTTCCATATTGCCCTTTCCAGGGAATCCAACTTTTGCTTAAACCATCCAGGTAGAGAATTTACTACCTATTAATGTTCCTCCTCCTTCTTTGGATGGCTCTTACCTTTCAGAAAATTCCAACAATAAGCAAAAATCTGTCTCATCACTTCTAAAGTTCCTACTATTTCTCAGGGCCATAGAAAACAACTCTTGTATTTGAAGGCAGATATTTTCCCTCTAAATCTTCTTTTACAAGCTAAATGTCCTAGGTTCATTCGTCAGCTGTTCCTCATGTGAACTCAACAGTCACCAGTGGACAGTTCTCCTGCAACTCTGTACCCCTATCTGTGCTTCTTTATAAAATGTCGAGTTCAGAAATGAAGTCGCTATTACCAACAGCTGCTAATAAAGAAAAGAAGTTGAAAGGAAAATAGAAAATGTTGACAAGAGGGAAAAAAAAAGTCTTCAGGTGAGAAGAGTTTCTATGAATAAGAGGGCAGAAGAAATTAAAGTATGGACTAACGCATGCTGTTTAATGAGACCAAAGCAGTCCCCGATTTTGGTTTTATGCTCTTTGCCAATACAGGGCCTTGAGCAGTGTAGTAGAAAGAAAAAAGCCTCAAGAATTGGATTTTAGTTCTACCAGTGCTACCACTAACTAATTGCTTACCTCTGGGTAAGGCACTTAATGTCCTGTGGATCAAATTTCTTTAACTGTAAGGAGGATATTGGACTACATGATTTTCAAAATCCATTCAAACTAATTTGCTTTCATCTAGTCCCTCAAATTATATAGAAAGAATACTTTGTAACTGGAGTTTTCTAACTGTTGTGCAGAACTCTTTCAGGGGGTGGTGGTGGTGGTTGTTGGTGCCCTCAAGTCATCTCCATCTCAAAGCTCTGTCTCATAGCTACTCTATGTACAACAGAAAGGCCTCCAGCCTCATAGCAACATGCAAGCCACCACAGGACAACAAACTGACAGACAAGTTGTGGTTTCAGGGGGTACTCTCCAATCTCTAGCCTAGCCCTCTGTGTCGCCTCTTAGGATACTGAGCCAACTAGTCCTAGTTTTACCCTCAGGGACATTCTGCGGTAAAATCATACACTTCAGAGGAGCCCTCTTTTCTTTGGCTAGACTCATCTCCACTCTGCTCCAACCACCTTTCTTTGGAAGAAGCTAAATCCTCATTCCCATTACACAAGGAAAAGCCACACCACTCAGCAGGTGTTAATCCCCTCCCCCAACAATATCCAGAATCTGATCAGGCCGTGTGATCATGCACAAAGTACATTCTCTAAGACGACAAGGTGATTACAAGGGTGATATGGAGCACCCACATTAATTTGGCCCAGTCAACACCATGGCGTTGCAATGGTCAAGCAGCTTGGTTTGAAAGGCTGGCAATTCGAACCACTCAGTGATTACAGCCCAGGAAACCTTGCGGGGCAGGTTTACGTTGTCACAGGAGGAAGCAACGAATCGAGATCCACTGGATGGCACCAAACAACAGTCAACATAGATAAAAATCCAATCACCAGAAAATAAAGTCAAAACACAGCCATCCTCTCCCAAATAAAACCGCCACGCTCTCGATTCCCTAACAAGATTCTCCTAAAGGGCAGTTCTTTTCCTTCTTTGCC